AGATTCAGTTCCTCTCACTGTGTCTCTCGCACAGAAATAAACTGCAGAATCCTCTAGTTTGAGGCTGTTCATTTGCAGATACAGCTGGCTGTGAGAATCATCCCTGGAGATGGTGAAGCGTCCCTTGACTTTGTCTAGGTAGTAAATCTTAGGAGATGAGCCTGTAGCTATTGATGCCACCCATTCAAGTCCTTTCCCTGGATACTGTCTCAACCAGCCAATGGGATAGCTGCTGAAGGTGAATCCAGAGACTTGGCAGGAGCGACGGAGGGACTCTCCAGGTCTTCTCACATCCCCTCCAGACTCCACCAACTGGACTTGAGACTGGACTCCTGAAACCAAAAACATTTCAATGAAACCTTCCATATACAAAAAGAAAACATGAAGGGAAATTCTTTAAAGATGGAAAACAACTACCTTGAATGAACAGTAACAAGGGCACTAGATTCAGCCACAGGATCATTTTTGCTCCCTGTAATCAATTGAGGGAATCGATAGCAAAGAAAGTGCACAAACTTTGTGTGGGTTGGTGTAGCCTGAAAAAGGAAAACATGCAGCTCCTTTAAAGGGAACAATGGGCCCTGATTTACATATTCCTTGGAATAAAAGAGCTCTGAGTTCATTCCCTTAGAGCCTTATTGGACAGAACTTACATGTGTGATATTCACATAATTTTTGAATCCTAAGAAAACTCATCTCAGATATTCTTTGTGCTTGCTTCCCTGGGACTGAAAGGAGAAAGCAAAGATTTATATTATGGTAGGCATAATAAAGTCTTGAATGATTCCACAACTTCTGACAAGGCATCAATGCGGTAGAGAATTTATTCTCCTTACTACATTTAGAGTTGGGAGATCAGCTACACAGTTCCTCCTTGACCAATCTGGTCCCTGGATCAATGTGGGGACAGAGCTTCAGGATTGGGGGCATTGAATATATATCTATACGGAAGAAATATAAATGGAGCAACATTGGTTGATATTATTCTGTGCAGTGAGAATTCATTGCATGAATATTTCCCTCGTGGCACAGTGGTTAGAATGCAATATTGCAGGCAAACTCTGCCCAGTGCCAGGAGTTTGATCCTGACAGGTTCGAGGTTGACACAGCCTTCCATCCTTTTGAGGTGGGTGAAATGAAGAGCCTGATTGTTGGAGGCAATATGCTGAAAGTGAAGTGTAAGGAATAATAGAGCAATATATAACTGTTATTCCGTTTGCTACTGTCTCATCATCTACCAAAATATATTGTGTTACAGTTTTGTACTCGTTTTCTTGGATAAACATTACACCCCATCTCTTGTTCCACCCCAATGCTTCGTTTCCATTTGATGAGTGTGGATTTTGTGCGGATTAGACAGGATGCCACTATAGCATCATAGTTGTAGCTCCTTGTCAGTTAGTTTTCTTTATTTCTTCAAACTCTATTCCTCTTTTCCTAAGATATCAGATGCTCTCTTCATTGGCATAATAGAATTCCTTGTAATAAATTTGAGATTAAGGACAAGTCCTTACGATAGTCAAGACAGAGATATTTAATTATTAGTGCAGAGGAAAATGGGAAGGGTTGTTTTTCGCTAAATGTTTTNGGTTGCTGGCCCTTTTTCATGTATCTGAATACACAACACCCCTTCCCCCCAGATCTGTTGATGGAGGGGGGGGGGGGTGGACCCAAAAAATCCCAACTAGCAACTTTGAAAATTCCAGAACATTGTAAACTTTACATTTGCATTTTTCCAGGTTAAGTGCCCATTTTTATTGATTCATTTACATGTGTGTGTGTGTGGTTCTGCTCTGATATTAGGAAAATCACAAGGAACACACCCCAGGAGCATCCTGGGATTTGTATTTCAGAGCACTTTGTATGACTCCATTTTATTCACTTCTCATTTTATTCAGTTTATCCAGTTAATTTATTCGCATTACTAACCCCCGTTAATTTATTCCATTTCTCCTTCCCTCCAGTTAATTCACATTACATTTCTCCTTCCCTCCAGTTAATTTATTCGCATTTACATTTCTCCTTCCCTCCAGTAATTTATTCACATTACGTTTCTCCTTCCCTCCAGTTATTTTAGTAACTTTTCATTTCTCCTTCCCTCCAGCTAAGTACACATTTTCTTTATTAGCTCAATTTTTTACTAGTTTCTCAATTTCACATTTCTCCCTTTCCCTCCAGTCGATTTACTCACATTTTTATTTTATTTAATTTTCCCCCCCTTCCGTACTGCGCATGCCCAAACAAACCCCATTGAGTTCTCTCAGTCCTGGCTTGAAGATCGGCCCTGGAGGCAGCTCGCGGCTTGCGGATGGCTTGCACGGAGGTGGGGACTGGCAGGGCAGCGCGGAGGTCTGTGGACTGGCAGGGCAGCGCGGAGGTCTGTGGACAGGCAGGGCAGCGCGGAGGTCGGTGAGGAGCGTCGGAAGCGGCTCCTCGGCTTTCCCGTTGGGAAACCGGCTCGTGGGGGAGGCAGGGAGTGGCCTCGCAGCAGCTGGAAACAGCTAAGTGCCTGGGTGGCAGGCAGGACAGGAGGGCGGCCCTGGAGGCCGCGAAGTGAAGGCTTGCAGCAGGAGTTGAGACACGGCGGCAAGGCTCGAAGTGGGCTCAGGTGGCACGGCTCGGAGAACGGAGGCAGCGACAGGGGCTTCTGGCCGTCCTGTGGCTCCTCGATCCTTTCGATGGGAGGCGGCCAGGGACGCCAGCGATGAGGGCGCGGAGGCAGCGGAGGCAAGGCAGGAGAGGATGGCAGGGACACGCTTCTGTCCTCCTCCTTTTCTCCCTCTCTCTCTCCGGGGCAGGCAGGCGGTGATGCAGGCATCGCAGGGAGGCCGGCAGTAGAGGGAGGCCAGCCTTGGAGGCAGAAGGCAGGCAGCGGTGGCCCGGCATTGAGCTCACCAGGCAGGCTTCTTATGAAGGAATTGTGAGCCCAGGAGGCCTTGGGAAGACTGGCAGGCATCGCGACGGCGGCTCCTGGGAGGCAAGTTTCGCAGGAAACTTCTGTCTTGCTTTGGTGTTGGCCGGCAGGGGCCTTAAGCGACCTCAATTCGGCGCGTGTCAGCAGGTTGAGGGACATCGATCTACTGGCGCGCCAGAGGGTTGAGCATCGCAATTTGAAGTTGAAGCCGGTCGAGGCGACGTTAGCTCGGCGCGGTTCGTAAAAGGCA